CATGCGTTTATCCCTGGTTCCAGAACGTTGTCGTCGAATTAGCCTACAAACCCTTTCCACCCTGTGAGAGGTGCAAAAATGGTGGCCGTTGTAGTTGGCCCACTGCGTGCATCCCATTTGTGCGGATCTACCATCGGCTGCATGATAAATTGGTTGTGCATGTGCAACCGCAAACCCGGCCAGGGGGGAAACCGACGGAGAAGAATTGTCCGGGTAGGTCAACATCGAGGTCAGAGAACAGAAATGTATAAGACTGATCATTGAGTAATGAGTTAGGTACCTAGACCATGACCGCAAGCGCACCAATGCGATTCTTTACCTATCTCTGTCATACATCGACGATATGATGCGCTATGTTCTTTGCTCTGCCACGTTAGCAGCTGCCCATGTGGTACAAGGAACGCCACCCCTAGTCCAGCGAGACCACAGCCTTGAAGGGAGACAAGCAACAGCTTCCAACTTCACGGACTACCTCTACACCTACGTGCGCCATTCTTTCTGTCACATAAGACCAGAGTTGCTAACAGTGTCCCAGTTCACCGGCGAGCGTCTCCCAAATGGCGAGCAAGTGTACATGGCAGTCAGCAACAACAACGACCCAACATCATGGACAACCCTCAACAAAGGCGACCCTGTCCTAACATCTTCCTTTGGCATGGGTGGCATCCGCGACCCATCTATCATCATCTCACCTGACCGATCAAAATTCTGGCTGATCGCCACAGACCTCAAAGTCTGGGGCCGCGGGTGGAACAACGGGACTTGCTACACATGCAACGGGTCAAAGTCCATCCACCTCTGGGAGTCCAGTGATCTCGCCAGCTGGACTGGCCCGACCTTCACTACGGTGGCGCCTCCAGAAGCAGCGATGGCTTGGGCCCCTGATGCGATTTGGGATCCGGTCAAGAAGAAGTTCCTTGTTTACTTTACCAGCAAGCTGAACAGTGAACTTGTTCTCATGAAGACACATACCGAAGACTTCAAGACGTTTACGCGAGCAGTCGAGTTCAACAGACTGGGCATGGATGCCACTATTGCTTTGGAGCAAGAGACGGGCAAATACTACTGGTTTAGCAAGAATGGACCTGACGAGCTCATTCAGCAGAACGTGGCGGATAGTCCGGAGGGGCCGTGGAAGAAGGTCAGTGAAAGGATTGGTGCGGATGGTGGTATGCCAGCTGGAGAGGGACCGTTGGTGTTTCGGGATAACAAGGATCCTAAAAAGGTACGCTATTACGAGCAGAGCTTCCCGAGAAGATTACTGACTTGTGGCAAGTGGCATTTATGGGTTGACGACTACATGCGTGGTGATGGTGGTTACTTGCCATTCACGACACACGACATTTCCAAGGGCAAGTGGACGGTGGTGAAGAATGCAAAGCTTCCAAAGAATCCCAGGCATGGACACGTAACGCCTATGTAGGTGTCTCAAAGCCAGGACTTTATGATGGATCCTTGACTAACAGCGACAAGCACCGCGGCCGAGCGAGCTAGAATTGTTGCTACCCACGGGGGGGTGTAGTCCACAAATCTATAACAATGCATACATCAACGTTATACCATCAGCACTTTGCCTTCTTCCTATTCCCACATTGAAACAGATACTCGACCCTCTCCTGATGATCCCCAACCCCAGCAGACAACACATCAACCTCTATCCCTTGCTCTTCCAAGAACTTGCAGAACAGTACAACTTCTATGGCCACAGCAACAGCCAGCTCAAATCCCAGACTTGCAAGCCAAGCGCATTGACCTTTTGTTTTCTACAGCCTCGGTAGTAATGACCATCCCACCCGACCGCGTCAAGGACATTCCCGATATCGAGACGGCAGATTACATCTTCACCGACGGCTGCGGCCTCATCTCACCAGATCTCGCGCAAGAGCTCGCACGAAGTGCTCTTGTCGTCTTCCCGCAACCGACCGGACGTTACGCTCCATCCATCTTCCAAATTCGATATCGCCTTACAAGGGTCTCATCGGCCGACATACTTCGAATCATGATTGGCTTTCTACGCCGAGCGCCATCTCTGGCCATCACGTTCGGCAGAATGCCGCCAATAGAGGTCATTGATGATACGACGGACGACTTGGTAGACATCCTGGAGGTATACGCTCGAGTGCTACCTTGGGCTATGGAAAAGATTGATGGGGGTGTTGGAGGTGGTCATGCTGGAACATGGTGACGACAAGAAGCGTCTGTAGAACAAACAGGCGCTGTTTTTTTGACATGACATAGGCAGATATGACACCTCCGTAACAAATAGAGGACCTTCAGGTTGATCAAGTTACATTATATCATTGGAAATTATGTACAAGCTACCTAGGTACCTACCTACCTAGGGTAATCCGAACGCAATCCGACACGAAGAAAAAGTATTTGCGCAAGACAATCCAAGTTTTGAAGATAAAACAGAAGTGAAAAAGAGCGACTGGAAGATGCGATATACAAAGTCAAAATATTTGTTTCCTCTGCGAAAGAAAAAAAGAAACAAAAGGGGTGGATTCGGTGAGACCAGATCATGCGCTAAACCGGGCTATCGTTTTGCTTTCTGTTTCCATGTCAGTCAGTATCTAGTACAAAAAGATCATAGCAACCTCGCAGTTGTAGTAGGGCTTACCGTGGTACAGCTGCATTGTCTCGATCAACCTGGTACTCGAGCCTCTGCCTGACCCCATCCCTGGACTCATCCGGCTCCTCCTCGTTTTCCACGGGGGAAGTTATTTGCGTAGTGGTAGTGGCCGACCCTGTCCACCCCTGCTTGGGAACCAGAGAAGGGGCCGAAGTGTCGTTTGTGTCTACTTCCAGGTCTGGTCTCGCTCGAGATGCGGTCGTTCCGGTGGCTCCGGTGGTGGTGTCGGTGAAGAGCGTGTCCTTCGTGGTAACCAAGACCGGATCAGGTCGGGTCGGTGCTCTTCCGCCTCTAGCCATCCGTCGTCGGACACGCTCGATCATGCTTGCGGTGGGAATGGGCTTTTCTGCCTGCCGCGGCTTGGAGCGGACGAACAGCTGAGGGAAGGAGGAAAGGCAGGCGATCAAAAGACTGATGTAGGCCTCCACCGACCACCAAAATATGAAGGCTACAGGGTCGATACTGCCCTCGTTGAAGCGGGTGGTGTACAGGATGGAGACCCGCACAATCCCTACAACGATGGTGATGATGGTGAGAGAAAACAAACTGATCAAAGCCAGCTTCTTTCTCCAGCGGATCCTGAGGTTCCAGACCATGCTGACGGGAATGGCGAGAATCATGATATCGGTGACGATGCTGAGGGTAGTGAGAACGGTCGAGATGATCAAGGATTCGGTGACGAACCAGCCGCTGTTGCAGTGATCATTCTGGTATATGAAGTCGTTGGTGTAGCACTTGTACTGAATGATCGTCATGGACAGGATGAAAACGATGGCGCAGCTGATTAAGGTAGCCCACCAGTAGTACTTTTGTTTCTTGGTTTCGGAATTGCCGTAAAGTCGCTTGAAGAACAAACAGAGGGCGACTTTGATGATGAAGATACAGATGAAGACGAGCAGCTGCATGGCCAGCATGCAGTTCATCCACTGCCTGATGTCCTTCAGCGGAGGTGGGAACGCTTGCTTTCCTGCTCCCCACCAAACGATGGCGTACATGTTCCACCACTGTGTCGCCCACACCACCGAGTTTATGAAGACCATGATCCAGGCAAAAATGACCAGGATGTCGTCCCAGAAAAGCTTGTGGAACGTCTTCCATCGTGTTGTGAGCCGGACGCCCAAGCTGATCAGTGTGAGTCCAGTCAGACCCCAGATGATGCCGTGGAATGCCTGCCAGGGGATAAGAGCCTCCCCATAGCCTCCCTTGGATACAGCGTTTTCGGACATGGTGACAGGAATGGTGAGGTTGGGACGGGGAAAAGCGACGGTGGGATGCTAAACCCTCGCCAACTTCATTTTCAGGGCATGGCCCTCGATCCTTTTTATTGCAGAGTTATGGTCTCGTGTCTGGATCAGCCAAACCGTCACAAAGAATGGACCTCGTCAAGTTCGAGGCTCTGTCTACCCCTAGTCCGAGATGCTCATCCTCGCCGATTAGAAGCTTCCATCTGTGGAGCAGCAAAAGGACAAAGAAGACCACCTTAAAAGCTTGTCAATTTCAGTGGTCCGGAAAGAAAAAACCGACCAATCACGGGGAAGCCTGCCGCAGCTCAGTGCAATCGGGGTCTCAAAGGTCTTTGTCTACAAATGCAGATCCAGCGTGGAGGCCATGAGTGGCGCCAAGGTTCGAACCAAAACATCTACACAAGCCTTGGCGAGTACGGGACTCAAGCGGGAACATCATCTTATCCCCTGCCCTTAGGTTTTCTATTCATGGATGATAGCTACCTTATACTTGTCTGAAGAAGAGACTGCTACAAGTACAACCCAAAATTTGGTCAAAAACCAGCAACAGGATGCAGCGAATGCTGAGAAGGAACGAAGATCTCACCATCATGGCAAAGTATGGCAGGCCGGACAGTAGATGCCCAGATTATGAGATAGACAGCTGCAGCGGCAACAGAGCGGGAACTTTTTGACATGGTGGCGGAGATACGGGGTTCTTTGTCCAGATACACGGAATATTCCCCGAAGCTATTGAGCTTGAACGGGACAGAGCACGGGGCTTCATGGACAGGCTGAGTGGCGGGAATATAGCCGGCTCAGGTGCCTCGGCCTTCCTACCAGATAGAACAAACTGGCCGGTCTATATTGTGTTGGCAAAACTGAAGAGAGGAACTCTCCGGTCCTTGCATTCTGCAAGATCATCCGCCGTAGCATCGGTGGTGATTGACGCGCTTGTAAGATATAGACGCGTTTTCCTATAACTAGCAGATAAATTGTTTTATTATTAAAACCAAGGGGCATAAGACTACGGAGAATTCTATTTAAATAGTAATTATTTAACTCTTAAGGGCTACCACCCGGTATAACGTATATCCGTTATATAAACCCTAAATCAACGTCTTTATATTAATAATTCTTTAGCCGCCTGGTTAGTTTAATCGGTAAAACGTAAGACTTTTATAAAGTACTCCGAAATCTTAAAGTTATAGGTTTGACCTTTATATTAAGCTTAATTTCTGTTAATAACGATTTTTTTAATCCTTTTTTTCTTTTCTTGTAAACCTATTTATCTATACTATCCGTTTTTTTTTTAAAGTTTTTCCTATTTTAAAAATACTTAAATACTTTATAAACTATTTACTAATTATTAAAATATTTTACTTACTACCTTAATTACCCTTTACTCCTTTAAACTATTACTATATTCCTTTGTACTACCCTTAATACCACTCTCCTCCTCCTTTATTACACCTCCCTATCCCTTTTCCAAACCCTTACTAACTCTATTATCTACCGTAATATCGGTAGTGATTAGCGCGTTTGTAAAATATAAATGTGTTTTCCTATAATTAACGGATAAATTATTTTATTATTAAAACTAAAAGGTATAAGATTATAGAGAATTTTATTTAAATAGTAATTGTCTGACTTTTAAAGGCTATTACCCGGTGTAATATATACCTGTTATATAAACCTTAAATCGACGTTTTTATATTAATAATTCTCTAGCTGTCTGGCTAATTTAATCGGTAAAGCGTAAAACTTTTATAGAGTACTCTGAAATTTTAAAGTTATAAGTTTAACCTTTACGTTAGGCTTAATTCCCGTTAATAACGATCTTTTTAACCTTTTTTTCTTTTTCCTGTAAACCTATCTATTTATACTATCCGTTTTCTTTTTAAAGTTTTTCCTATTTTAAAAATATTTAAACACCCTATAAACCATCTACTAACTACTAAAATATCTTACCTACCACCCCGACCACCCCTTACTCCCTTAAACTATTACTATATTCCTCCGCACCACCCTTAACACCACTCTCCTCCTCCTTTATTATACCCCCCTATCCCTCTCCCAAACCCTCACTAACCCCGTCATTTGGCAGGACCACCCTGACCTCGACGTCTTCCGCGTCGGCCACACATTCTATTACTCCTCCTCCACCTTTGCGTACTCCCCCGGCGCCCCAGTATTGCGCTCATTCGACCTCGCCAACTGGGAGGCTGTCTCGCATTCGGTACCCTACCTCAACTTTGCCCCGGAAAATGCGTACAACCTGACCTCTGGGTCGAGGGCGTACGTCAAAGGCATATGGGCCAGCACCCTCCGCTACCGCCCCTCCTCCGACACCTTTTACTGGCTGGGCTGTGTCGACGGGGGCAAGACATATGTCTGGTCCAGCCCGGGGGGTAATGCTGCTGCAAACGGCGGGGAGGTTCCTTCGGAAACGTGGAAGTGGACCGCCAGGCCGGTGATTGACAAGTGTTATTACGACGCGGGCTTGTTTTTTGATGAGGATGACGGGTTGGCGTATGTGGTGTATGGGAATACACAGATCAGGGTTGCGCAGTTGGCGGTGGGGGGGAATGGGGATTTGAGGGAGGTGAGGAACCAGTTGGTGTATACGAGCAGTGATATGACGCTGGAGGGGGCGAGGATGTATAAGCGGAATGGGGAGTATTGGATTTGGGTCACCAGACCGGCGGACGCGCAGTTTGTTTTGCGGGGGAGCAGTCCTTGGGGGCCGTTTACGAGGCGGGTGTTGGTTGATCGGATTGCGGGGCCGTTGTCGAGTGCCGGGTATGCTCACCAGGGGGGGATCGTGGATACGGAGGACGGGAGGTGGTTTTATGTTGGGTTTTTGGATGCTTATCCCGGGGGGAGGATTCCGGTTGTGGCGCCGATGACATGGGGGAGTGACGGGTGGCCGGTGGTGGTGAGGGATGGGGGGAATGGGTGGGGGAGGACTTATCCTGTTCCAGTGAACACGACGAGGAAGGTGAATGTCTTGGGGGCGAGGGTTGATGAGTTTAAGGGGGTGAAGTTGGGGCCGGAGTGGGAATGGAACCACAATCCTGATAATGGGAAGTGGGCACTGAACAATGGTCTGGTTTTGAAGACGGCCAGCGTGACGGGAGATTTGTTCGCCGCGAGGAACACGCTCACACACCGGATCGTCGGGCCCAAGTCGAGAGGTACCTTCAGGGTTGATATTGGCGCTATGAGGGATGGTGATCGTGCCGGTGCTGTGCTCTTCCGGGACAAGGCTGCCTACATTGGCATCCACAAGACCGGAAACACTGCATCGATTGTCATGGTTGACAACTTGAACTTGGTGGAAGGCTCTTGGACCACAAGTTCCACTGGTCGAGTGGCCGCGACCGGTCCTTCTGTCACCGGAGAGATCTGGCTCCGGATTCAAGCTGATATCACACCAGCCTTTGGGACAAACACTGGACGACAAGTCATCTTCTCCTACAGCACCGACGGCAAGACTTTCACGAATCTTGGACCCGCTTTCGCGATGAGTAATTCTTGGCGATACTTTTCTGGCTACAGATATGGTGTCTTCAGCTTTGCGACCAAGGCATTGGGAGGTGAAGTCAAAGTTAAGAGTTTCGCGATGGAGACGGTCTAACTCCGTGTTCCATAGAGAATATCATAGTGGTGTACATGTAGCCAAATAAGTCGCAGGCTTGTCGTAGTTAACATGGAATAGGACCATTCATGATGGCTCCACCAAGCGATGAACAAGGAAAATTCCAGAATCATGGTAGTGGAGCCACTTTTTCCTTCTGGAAGATAGCCAAATCAATCTTACAAAGCAACAAGTGAAATTTGGAAAAACCTCCGAGTTTTCTCGATGTTGATGATGGTGGAGCTGTTTCAATTGCCGGCGAAACCTTTTCCCAATTTTATACACTGAACGCTGATAAATCCAATTGAACATCGTGAGGATATGCAAGAAGATTTTGCTGAAGTAAAGGCGATAACAAAGCATTGCCAAGTATGGTCCTTATTCATGATGTGTGATTCGACCATTGACGGCATCAAAAAAACATGCACAAACCACACTCTGCTGACTGTTTAGCACCATGCATGTGCTTAAAACACAGACCTCAAATTGAAAGCTTACTCATCATCTCCATGACCAACAAACTCTGGAGCTTGATCGGGGAATCTCCAAGAGAAAGGTCTCCACATGGCATCGTGCTATCGTACTTATGACGTTGCATGTCTGCGGGACATTGACATCGCTCGGCAAAACTGTGACCCCAGAGAAAGGTTGGATCATAATTTTGTCTGAAGAGGTATTTAAGACACTGACATATCTCGAACTTGAACCTGTTCGTCCATTTTTTCTCTCATTCTCATTTGATACCCCACAATCCCTATCGCTCCTTTCTTACAACCAACCTTACCTCTCACAAGTCTCACCGCCAAAACAATCACAATGTCTATCCCCAAGACCCAGAAGCAGTGGCTCATCACAGGAGCCGACAAGGACTTCGACGGCCTCGTCTACCAAGACGCTCCCGTCCCTACCCCCGGCGATCATGAGGTCCTCGTCCACCTCCACGGCGCCTCGCTCAACTACCGCGATCTCATCATCCCCAAGGGCACGTACCCCTTCCCTCTCAACCTCCCAGTAGTAGCCGGCTCCGATGGTGCCGGTGAGGTCGTCGCTGTTGGGTCCAAGGTCACGAAGTGGAAGAAGGGCGACAAGGTCCTCACTCTCTTCAACCAGGGCCATCAGAGAGGTGACATGGACATCAAGGCCAGCAAGACTGGTCTGGGTGGCTGCTTTGATGGTACTTTGAGGCAATTTGGCACTTTTGCCGAGACTGGTGTTGCCAAGATGCCCAGCAACCTGAACTACGTCGAGTCTGCTTCTCTTGTCTGCGCTGCTCTTACCAGCTGGAACGCGCTGTATGGTCTTAAGCCGTTGAAGAAGGGTCAGTGGGTTGTTACCCAGGGTACTGGTGGTGTCAGTTTGTTTGCTTTGCAGGTAAGACTTCCTTCGAGCTCGGCCAAACGCGATGGTGATTTGATATTAACAGAAAAACAGTTTGCCAAGGCTGCTGGCGCGCATGTCATTGCCACTACATCCAGCGCGGAGAAGGCTGAGATGCTCAAGAAGATGGGCGCCGACCATGTTCTCAACTACAGGGAGGACGTCAACTGGGGCGAGACTGCTCGCAAGTTGACTCCCGGTGGTGAGGGTGTTGAGCATGTCATCGAGGTTGGCGGTGCCGACACCTTCACCCAGAGCTTGAGCGCCGTCAAGATGGAGGGTGTCATCTCTGTCATTGGCTTCCTCGGCGGTGCGGCCCCCAAGGACAACATTCTCGAGACACTGTCTCGTGTCTGCACTGTCCGTGGCGTCTACGTCGGCTCTCGCGAGCAGCTCGAGGCCATGGTTGCTGAGATTGAGAAGCATGACATTCACCCCGTTCTTGACAAGACAGTTTTCACGCTTGACAAGGCAAAGGAGGCTTATGAGTACATGTGGGCCAAGAAGCACACTGGCAAGATCCCCATCACGATTGAGTAAGACTCTGAAGCTGCAGGGCGGATTTTCACAACACTGTATATACCTAATGACTTAATAATGATACCTGCTTCATACTATTAACTCTCTTGCTTGTGAACCCTGGAAGCTTGACTGAACTGGCTTGGGATGACGTGAGCCTGACGCGTTTAAAGTCTGGATTGTGTTACGTCGAATCATTGCGTGGTACCTTGGCTACCTATATGCCGAGCCTGTGAGACCCAGGGATGCTTATTTTGCGTGCCGAGAAGTTATGCGAGGTACCTATCAACCACAGGTCAACGAATCACGGCATAGTATGACAGAAAGCAAAAGCAACATCAGATTGGATAGGTAGGTAAGCGGGGATACACAACACCAGTTGGCAGTGTGTTGGAGATAAACTCTCTGAACCATACCATTCTGCTGGCACCCCGCTCGTGAGGCTTGGTCTAGAAACAATAGCGAAGGTTGTGTCACCCACCACGAGAACTGCCGGTTAAGAGCTTGATCCCACGTTGTGGCGGCCAAGAGACCCTGCCAACGCTGCTGACTGCATATTGTACCGTAGAAAAAACTTCCAGCCGCAGCACTGGCTACCAGTAAGCGATTGGACAGTCCTATCGGGTGGACTCCTTATATGGCCGACAGCTGGCACTGGCCAGACATGGATGATGGAAGCGGTACGACATGCCACAC